AATTTATGTAAAAATCTCTGTATCAAGTTTTTAAGGAATAACATATACTTTGCTTTTTCAACAAAGTCTGATCAAGTCTGTGGGTGGGAATTAGCAATGACTAAACAGGAAGGAACTGAGTAAAAATTCATCAAAAATAGAAGCAGTTTCTGCATATAGAGAAACAACCAGCTCACACTGTTTAGTTGTGCTGTGTGCAAAAGATGTAAAATGTTCTACAAATTAACTAAACTACATTTTTAAATAAAAAAAAATACAATTTCAAGTTGACCTGACTTGCAGTTCTTTGCAGTGTACAGTCATTGTCGAAACAACTAGCTATGTAGGGCAATATGGGAGGCAAATCCAGCCATAAAAATTGAAATTAAAACAATAAAATGTAAATGAAAGCCTCTTTTAGCCATTTCTTTTCCAAACATCTGCGCAAATATCCTGCCAAAATTGAAAATGAAATTAAATACCTACATTTGCAATTTCATTTTTCACATAAGCAATAATTAGTGACAAAAATAAAAATACCTTTAAAACAGCTATTTGTCATTTCATTTTAGTTGTTATTCTGGTATTTCATGGCCAAATCTAAAATGAAAAAGCTAATAGAGAAAAGAAAATCCAAGCTTCACTTTGGCTTTGGCTTTTCTCCATGAAATGCAGAATACGTGTCAAAACTAAAATCAAAATTCAATGTTTACGTTCTTATTTATTTTTCATAGCGATCAGCTGCATAACTGACAAAATGGAAATGAAAATGAAAAATGGATAAATCAACAGCAAAGTGACAGTTTGTGATTCAGTTTTGGGTGTGGACGCGCTTTAAGTGTCAAAATGAAAAGGCAAATGCAAACAATCATCGGCGCCACCTGCTGGAGATTTGCTTTTCATTTGGCACTTTGCTTTTTCATTTTCAAACTGACCAACATGTAAATATATGTTAATTAGCACTAGGCAGGGCTACGGGGTACATTTTAGGACATCCTCAGACCTCAGAGTCAGAACGGCATCATTCCTCAAGCTGAACGACTTCTCTATTAGCTTTAGGATTTAGGATTTTCTCTATTAGGATTTTCTCTATTAGCTTTTTCATTTTAGATATGGCCATGAAATACCAGAATAACGACTAAAATGAAATGACAAATAGCTGTTTTAAAGGTATTTTTATTTTTGTCACTAATTACTCGTGCTTATATGAAAAATGAAATTGCAAATGTAGGTATTTCATTTCATTTTCAATTTTGGCAGGATATTTGCGCAGATGTTTAGAAAAAGAAATGGCAAAAAGAGGTTTACATTAAGGTGTACTTACTTCTAAATATTTCATGCAACTTTCCTGGAAAACTACATCTTAGTTTTTAGGGCTTTTTAGGGATAAAAATCAGCATATTTCAATAAATATAGTTAAAAAGAAAAGCACTTACATTCGTTCTCCCTTCTCAGCTCTCTCACTTGGCTCTCAGTGATGTTTGAGCTCATTTGTAGAGTTCTCAGCTCCTGAGCCTGACCTGAGATTCCATACAGAAAACTTTTATGAAGATTTGAGAGCAGAGTCTTGTAGATTTACACTGCAGTCATACATTAATTAACAGTGTGTATATTTTACCTTCATTCTCTCTTTTCAGTTCCTCTACTTGTTTCTCACTGGCTTTTAATCTGATTTCAGCTGCTAGACATTCAAAACAGAGACAAAATATCAGCTATCAGTAAACTTGGCAAAAGATCATTACATTTTGCATTGGCTCCTTAAAATCCCAGGCTTATTACATACCTAAGTTCAGCATCTAAAGGGGCTTCAATGCAAACTGGCTGAGCTATTCTTAGATTATAGAAGTGTGTAGTAAAACTTTGGTCCTGCTGGTGGGTCCTAGACATTTAACGAGTTAACCATAACTTAATCACATAGCTGTACCTTCATTCTGCTTCTTCAGTTCTTCCACTTGTTTCTCACTGGCTTTTAGTCTGATTTCTGCTGAGAGAGCTTTAAAACAGACACAACACACCAACTATAATCCCTGTAGGACATGGAATCTGACATTTTGAGTTAACTATATCTTCACTCAGCTTTACCTTCATTCTGCTTCTTCAGTTCCTCCATCTGGTTCTTTGTGTATTTCAGCTCCACACTTTGTTCTGCAAGTTTAGTGCTCAGCTCTCTCAGCACTGTGTGGATGTCAGGCTGGCAGGGTTTTTGGTTGGAGACAGTGGCCTCAGTTTCCTGATCTTCTGTTTGAATTTCATTGTTGATGCTCTCTTCATCTCCGTAGTGAAGCTGATCAGTGACCTCATTACTGCTTATTACCACAGCACAGCACAGCAACACCAGCACAGCTACAGAAGACTTCATTCTCTTCTCTTCTCTTCTCTTCTCTTCTCTTCTCTTCTCTTCTCTTCTCTTCTCTTCTCAGTGTCTGTAGGGTTTCCTTTTATACAGTGTAGAGGAGGTAATTAGCCCTGGTGAAAACATACAGAAAAGTTGCTGGCAGTATTATCAGGCCATGTGCTTGCCATTTTGAACGTCTCAAACAACATAGTCATAAACAAAGCAATTACCTATGTAATAAACCCCTAACAGTCTGGACAATAATTAGCCGAAAATAAAAATGGATAAAGTTGTATGCTTACTTATTACTGAATTTTCTGTAGTGTTAAATCCATTTGGTTTTGACTCACTTGTCTACCACTCCATTGGGTGTTATCCTATTTTGTGTCTGTCATTCTACAGAACTGACCTAACAACCCTCACCAGCATTTACCAGTGAAGTATCACAAGGCAGAGTGCTAGTTCAGTGCTAAATTGTAATAGAAGCAACAAAGCATGCAGAAAGTTCACGTTTGATTCATTTCTCCTTTATTTGACAGGTTCATCACCAAGAGTATGATTAGTAAAACAATGAAGTGTTAATGGAATGAAAACTTTATTCTAGTGAGCTATCTGTGTTAAATGTAACATTTTGAATAGGAGCCGTGACAGAATTGTTAGTGTTCCAACTACAGGAATTCAGTGTATTGGAGGGTATTTAACCCATGCTCCCGGGGCCCGAGCATCCAAGGTCCTATTTAGTTTTGGAGCCAAATTCATAGAAAACCGAATTATCTCATAATAACACAGTAAAATATTAGTCACAGTAAAACATTAAAAATTACTAATTATATCTATATAGTTTTGTGTTTTTGTGTTCTCCGGCTCAATGCGAGTTTAGAGGAGGGGTGGTGTCTAAACAAATTGAAGTTGCTGTGTACATTTCACCATCATTTTTGGCAAAAACAGTCAAATAGACAAAGCAACAAGGCACAGTGGCTAAAATCTCTACACATCATGAAAATGAAAGTTTTGCATTATTTTTGGTTTGAGGCAACGTGTGGTAACAAAATATGACAGGTTGCATAATTTGACTGTGAAATGGCTTGGAGAGGAGGGTAACTACCAAAATATTCAGACCAAATTTTCAGACTTTAGACATTATGAGTGCAGAAGGGGTGGCCTTGTTTCATACAAGCTCCTCTTATTGGTTCATTTTACTTATAACAATGTGGCCTCAGAAGTATTTGTACAGTAACATTCAAGATGTCCTGCTTAACCAGCTAACTTTAAGCTTAGTTCAGTCTAACCCTGAAGGTTCTTTCTCACAATGGAAATTGGATCACTTTTTACCAGGCTACATCACTGTGGCAAGTTATGCTGCATGTCAAACCGGCCCCCGGCAGGTTAAGTTCACAATTTCATATAATAAACAGCTCTGGGACCAATCAGGGTCGAGCTTCTGACTAATCAGGGACTGACGGAGGTGAACCCTATTTTTTTCATGGCGTTTGTGGTGACAATCATGTGAAGAGTATCACTTTTTGGCAGAAGAGACAAATAAATATGAAGAATATAAAGCATTATAATACCCCTTATGTTACTCCATGTTACTTAAGCAGTAACATGGTGGTGACACTGTTGATTTTTACATTACATTACAAACACTTTCTACACATTTTGCATGGTACAAAGAAGCCGCTGGACTCTCTGCTCACGTTTAGTGCAGTTGGCGGTCGGTCATAAATGCCGCACTGTCATGTGCACATGTTCAAGGACTAATCATAGTTTGACTATCCAAACCTGGCTTAAAGGTGAAAGTTATTAACACTGTCAATCAACAAGTTAATCATAATTGCATTGGTAGGTTTTTATGAAGCTAAAATTCAGTCAGGAATCTTGTCTAAGTTGAACATGCTTTGTAAGACAGACTCTATATAGAGATTCTATAAATCCTGGGGCAAAAGTGAAACTGTACTTTTAAATAATCAGTAAATGTTGGCTGCTTGTAGATCATGTGTACAGGCACGCTTCAGGGCTTTCAGTCTCTTCCTCAGCATGTTTGCACCTTTGGATTTTTATCAGGTAACTGCTAACTGATATGGATAAGGAAGTGTTTCTTACTTTTTGGCCATGTTAAACTCCTTGTTTACTGAAGAACTGTCTTTTGGATCACTGAAGGCATCCATTTACATGATGGTGCTTTCTGTCATTAAAATCTGTATCAGCCAGTGGACTGTGATTAACCACTTCATTTATATATATTCACTGCTTTAGACTCATTTGTATGCCTCTGTCTACTTTCTTAACGTATGAAAGACATAAGACTTTTTTAATATTATGACTTAATGAGTTAAAGGTTGACTTAAGCATTATAAAATCAGATTTCACTTACATAATTACCAGCAAATGTACATTTCCTGCATCATAAACTGATTCATTCCAGATTATTTACAAAGCTTGTTAAATAGTCTTATCTTTGTTCCAGGCTTGATTGCAGAGTAGACTCGTAAAAGGCACGAAAAAGGCTTGACGCACAATATATCTGGACAGGAAGCAATTTAAGTGTTGCCCCAGTCATAAATATTCAGGGGTGTGTTGTAACTAGTTATTTTTACTCAATTACATGTGTTTACACTTAGATGAATTTGCTCTTTGCTAAGTAGTTTCACAATAATTATATGATAATAGAACGTTAACACTTTTTGAGGTATATTTGTGAGGAAAGTAATGACTTTTTCCTCATTTCCACTTTTGTCCTTCACACACAGTCTTTTTTGGCTCTAAAAATTAAAGCAAAGAAAATGTGGAGTCAAAAATATGTTGCGTGTTATGTGTTGATATTCAGTAAAGTTTTTGACACTGGGTATTCTAATAGATACACAAATATCAAAATTTGTATATATAAACATAATGCACATCCCTAGTGTCTAATTCATATTCCAATCAGCATGAGTAGCTCTGTAGTGCTACAATATTTATATAATTTAAAACTGACTTTCTGCTGTTTGTTTGGGTTCAAGCGTGACAACTGAAAACATTCCTGTCTGTCAGGTAAGTTGTAGTATAAGATTAAAATACAAAATATGAATATTTATAAAAAAAATAAATGTGTCCAGAAGGGGTGGCCTTGTTTCATAGAAGCTCTTCTTATTGGTTCATTTCACTTGGCCTCAAAGCTTTTGATATCATAAACTGCCCTTGGACCAATCAGTGTTGAGCTTCAGGTGGATTCCTATTATTTCATGGCGTTTGTGGCGACAATCGTGAAGAATATCACTTTTTAGCAGAAGAAGCAAATAGATATGAAGAATATAAGGCAGTTATCACTCCAGTAAGCACTAACATGGTGGTGACAGTGTTCCTTTTTAACCATTACAAGTGCTTTTAAAGCAGATCTGATCAGATGTGAGTCTAATAAAACAGTGAATAGGTTATCTCATAATTAGGAGAAATAAAGGTTTTAAGAAACAGAAGCATAATCAATTATTGGCTAAGTGCACTTTCATATATGAGTAAATTGTCAAGGTGAAACTGTTGCATATGTAAGTGGACAACACAGAATACAGATATACAGAAATAAACACAAAGGCACAGCCGTAAAGGGTTATAGAAAATATACATTTCCACAGTATGTAAGCTTAATGTACAGAGTATTTACAATAATATAGATACAGTGTAGTGAAAAAAGTATTTGACCCCTCCATATTTCCTCTGTTTTTGCATATTTGTCGTTCTTGTTGTCATTTCTTGTTGATGGAAAAAATACTAAAGGTCTCCATAAGCAGGACATAATGCTGCACTCAAAAGAAATTCCAGAAGGCATGAAAAAGAAAGTTATTTAAATAAATCGGTTTCAGGAAAGGGCCACAAAGCCATTTGTAAGGTTCTGGGACTTTAGTGAACCACAGTGAGAGGCATTATCTTCAAATGGAGAACACAGTGGTGAATCTTCTCAGAAGAGGCTGGCCCACCAAAATTCCCCCATTTTCACACTGACTACTCATCCAGAAAGACAGAAGAACACAGATCAACATCTAAGGAGCTGCAGTCCTTACTGGCCTCAGATGAGGTCAGCATTCCTGATTCCACTGTTAGAGAGAAACTAGGCAAAATGGTATCAACCGGAGAGTTGCAAGGCAAAAATCACTGCTAACCAAGAGAAACATAAAGCCTCATCTCACATTCACCAAAAAGCACCTTGATGACCACGATGCCTTTTGGCATAATGTTCTGTGGACTGATTAGTCGAAAGTGGAGTCCTTTTAGAAGCCGGGCCTTCCTGTTTATATATGAATTCTGTCTGTCTGCCAGAAAATCCTGCAGTCCTGACTTGAACCCCATTGAGATGCTGTGGCAGGACCTTAATCGGACACCGCAATGTGAAGGACTGATTCCTAGTTAGGGGAAGCGTTTGATTGCAGTTGTTTAAGTGGGCAATCACTTTTTCATATGGGTCATATAGGTGTTGCAAACCTTTTTCAAAAGATATACACGTGTCCTGAAAACACCCTTCTTAGAAAGTGGTATTATAAGCAGCTACTATGTCAAGAACAGCATGCTTGTTCACACTGTTTAACCTTTGCTTGGCTGTGGTTCACAGATTACCTTCTCTCTTACAGTAATCTTAGCCTAATTAAAGTTGCAGCACACTCTCAGGTCAAGGCCTGTGGCTAAATCAGTCAGTCCTACTGCTCATTACTGTTCTTAGTCCAGCCTCTCAAGCTTAATGTCTGTGTGCTCCACAAGTTTAAGTCAAAAGATCTGGCATGTATCTGATCTGACAAGCTTTTGATTAAATCTGACTTCATAATTGTGAGTTGGGTCCACCAGTTACAGCCCAGGATTTGTCACATAGCCTGAGGTTAGACTGAATTTATTGAATGTTTGAATGCAAATGACACCCCTCAGAAAGGACTCATCTGCCCCGTTTTACCTCACTGTAGCTACATAGTTGACTAATGGCTCTTCCAGAAATTTCAGTGCTCAGAGGCTCAAAATGCAGGCTGTGCAGGTCAAAATCAGTCATTTTATACTCCGTATGTATCTAATTGCATTTATTATTGATCTAAACTTATTATATTGGATATAATATCATCACAAATCAGAAGAGAATGCAAGGAAGTGGTAAATGAACAGTAGCATGACTGTCCTGTCAGAAAGAACATTGTATCTGGAACTCAAACTTGATACAGATCCTGTTAACA